TCACACTAATTCATTCATGATATCAATCCGAATTTAATGATATCCACAACCCCACATTGATAATCTATTTCAATCAAATTTGTTCAGCTACTTACAATACAGATATATATATATATATAATATCTGTAATAACATTTTAAAAAGAAATATAAAATAAATATAATAGCCGAATTGCAGAGTATCAAATCGATTCTAGTCATGTCGTCCAATCAGAATTGTTTTTTTAATTATTTACATAACCAAACAAATGTCGTGAAAATGGAGCATGAAACAAAAATCTATACACTACAGAGACTGTAAGTGTACAGAAACACAGAAGCCTGGATCTGGTGCAGAAAGGTAGCTAGGTTAATCGCTCATTCGAACATGGGCAGAAGTAATAATTATTTTAAAACAGAAATATAGGCTTTGTTGTTACATTAATAAAATAGTTTTCATCAGTGAATATGCGGCACTAAATTAGAAGAAATAGTTGTATGATTGATTAATCATTTATTAACCACTTTTACTATTTCAGAAAAAGGTGATTTAAATAGTATGGGGACTCAGTCCAAGAAATGGAAAATCGATGACAAATGGTACATAGTAATAAACCTGATATGCAGATAATTAGTAGTAAGACTCTCGGCTTAACAAAGTTCTTTACCATCATAAATACTGATACCGTTGGTGTATATGATATGCATATTGTTTAAGCAAACAATAATTCGTAATCTTTGATCTAACTCATATTAATACACCCGGCTGTCAGTAGACAGACAGTAATAAATTTCATAGTTAACATAATGGAGTGATCGTAATTAATCAACCACTGGATATCATGAAGCAGTTGACAGCGGCTTCGTCCCAGTATAGGATTGTTCAGCAATACACACCCACGATCCCACCACCATGGGCGTGAATTAGATGATAAAATGTGAGTTATACGATAAAGTAGATTTCATTAAACATAATTTTGTGATGAAAATGTAAATATATCATGTAAGAAATGTCAAATCGATATGAAGTTCGAACATTGCCATTAATTATACAATTTAGACCTATTCAGTAGCTTTACATATGGAACAAAATAAAACGGGCTTCAGTTTTTCCCATAGGCTAGTTAAATAACAAGCATGTTAGGATTAATTTTAAGCGCAAAGCTGATTTTTTATGTAGTCGAATGCAAATCTTAGGCAGACAATTAGTATCATATCTACCAATAATAAATAAATAAATTTTTTGAAAGTCAGTTAAAACAGAATCGTATTTTGTTTGTTAATTTTAAAACGCCTGCTTATAAACAAACAAGACATTCTCAGTGACCAATTATCCTAATTTTTTCAATCCTACAGTTGGTCAGTCGAGGTTCAAACATCCCAATGGGAACATTTCATACTGAAGAATTAGATCATGTGGGATCAGATTAGTGGTACACCTTATAAACGAGCCCCAATTAGCATTAAACTTATATCCATGGTTTTCAGCTGACCACCTCTAGACACTTAACAACTTAAAATGAATATTGATATTCTGTAAGATTACCGAACTCAGAATGACCAGCTTCAGTCTTATGTTTTCTTTATGGTATTATACTTTACTCATTTTCATTTTTATAAACTTCGATTGTTACATAAATCCCGTTAGTAAAAAATAAAATAAACGGCCAATCCAGATATCAACGTCTTCTGTTTTATAATGAATCTTTCATTGGTGTAAATACTGTGAGTAGATTATAGTTAAATTTACGTGTATGAGTTCTGAAAATATTTCCATTTATTAGTATGCATAATCAGGAAAACATCATTTTACAGAATAAAACATTGTCCATACATGGTAAGCAGAGATGGATAGTGGCTAGCAGTGGAATTCAGGATGCGCGTTTCGTCCTATTTGGGACTCGTCAGCTGGATGTACCTGCATCTCAGAGTTGATGTTCACTCTGGGACTCGAACCCAGTACCCTCGCTTCAAACGCCATCGCGTTATCCACTCGGCCACTGAGTCCTGATAGCCACTTGCTTGTGCGATGGGGTGAAGTTTGAATTCACTTAGTATTGTTTGTTTGGATCTTCCCATACATGTTTAATCCATATTCAGCTAATTTTCAAAGTTTACTATTAAAACTTATTACTGACCATCAGTTCAGTGCTTTGTGATCCATTTCTGAAGAAGCTTGTAATTTACTCAATAAACCTGTTTATTATTATCATCATCATTATTACTCCATGCTTTGTGTATATGAAAAACCTAGCACGTACAATAACCCTTCTATCATCTTATATTTCCCTGTCAAATGTAATTAACAAGTGAAAAGAAAAATGACTAGACTGATAAACTAAAGATGTAATTTTCCTCGTGGCACGTCTTAACACTCATAATCTGTTAAAGCTATCACACTGCAGTATTTAGTAATATATTTACAGCTTGCAATCGAAATCATAATGACATTTGAAAGGTTTTTCTTTGTTTAATACTGAATTATGGGAAAAAAGGATTAATTTTGTGATTGTATAACAGCTATTTGGTGATGAATAATGAAATAAAATTGATTAAAACATTGAAAAAAGCTATAGTTTCTTATACATTTCTGTGAGGCTAGTTAACTGGAGCTTCAATGAAAACCAAATTAAAATGGCTTTAAATACACGAACCAGTTGTAGCAAAGCTCAAAAGTATCTAGATCGACTCATTAGAAATGCCACAACCAATATGCTAGATGATAAGCAAATATGGATAGTAGCTAGCAGTGGAATCCAGGACGCGCATTTCGTCCCATTTGAGACTCGTCAGTTGGATGTACTGCATCTCAGAGTTAATGTTCACCCTGAGACTCGAACCCAATACAAGCAAGTGGCTATCAGGACTCAGTAGCTGAGTGGATAATGCGATGGCGTTTGAAGCGAGGGTACTGGGTTCGAGTCCCAGAGTGAACATCAACTCTGAGATGCAGGTACATCCAGCTGACGAGTCCCAAATAGGACGAAACGCGCGTCCTGAATTCCACTGCTAGTCACTATCCATATTTGCTTATAATGCTAGTGAACTGAGGCTATATCGACGCAATCCTCACAGTATGCACATATGCCAATAAGAGACTGATCAATTGCGGTCCTAAACATCAATGGGAAGATTCAAACAAACAATATCAAGTAAATTCAATATACTGGATGATTTATAATATCTAAGATGAAATTTTTCCTGTCAATTCTTGTTTGGGCATTTTAATTTCTGTTTACAAAACTCATAGATTGCAATACAAAAAACACTGATTACAAGTTAGTCTTACAGATCACAGTTGATTAACTAACTTATCAAAATAATGGTCTTAGCTTGAATAAACTAATCTTCAAAATTGTTTACCTTACTCATAATGAATTTGATGATTTCTAGGCAAGTAAATTAAACATAATGACACGATTGGCATTGACCTTTTAATTTCTGATACAAAATTTTGATGTATCAATATTAAAACAGTCATGCAATTAGCATTCTACTATAAATGAAAATAATTTAAACAAAAATATCGATCGAAAACTTTGTCAGTGATCTACCATCAAAACGTATTTGTTACCCATGTAAATTAGCAAACGATAGAAATAGGCTTATTCTATGTATGAAATTCACTTGAAATAAAATCATACCACTCATTATTTTTCAAGGATAATAAAACGCGTAAAATAGAAGTAAGCAATATATAATCTTTTATGAAATGTTATGTCCCTTTTTTGTCCTGTTCTATCGTTAAAGAAATAGACAATAAACATGCTACAAAACTCGTAAAATCGTATTATCATGAAAAATTTAAAAAAATTCCATTAATGTAAAAAGTAATCATGAGTCTATTAGGAGACTGAAGTTTCTCTTTATGCATCATTGAAACTTGACAGTCCAGCTATAGTGTGCTTAAAAAATTAATATTTAAAACTGTTTATCTGATTAAAAAAAGATTCTATCAACAATAGTAGATCCATAAAACCATCTGAAAACTGAATCATTTATCGTATTTATAATTCATCAAATCTATCTGCATTAATTTAATTTAGATAAACCTGTAATGACTACTTAAATCTCCTACTGATTATGATGAAGCGATTAATAGTTTCTTATTAATAAACAATGATATTTTACAGAGATTTTGTTAACTATTTTTCACAAGTTTAAAATTGTGTTCATTAATGAATAAAGATAGATAGTTTTATTAACTTGATGAGTATGATACGGATTTTAAAGGCTAGGATTTGCAAAGTAAGGACAGCATTCCTACAGTTGAAAAACATATGGAACTCAAAACAGTCATTTGCATGCCAATATGAAAGTGAGAATTATCAATACGAACGTCAAAATAGTTCTACTGCATGGAGATGAAACAGGAAGAACTACTACAACCATCGTCAAGAAGGTACAAGTATTTATAAACAGTTGTTTACACAAAATACTCAACATTCACTGACCGGATACTATCAGCAACAGCGTTTTATGGGAGAAGAAAATCTAGCTTACAGCTGAAGAGGAAATTAAGAAAAGACATTGGAAGTGGACAGGACATACATTGAGGAAATCACCAAACTGCATCACGAGGCAAGTCCTGACTTGGAATCCTGAACACACTGTGTCAAGAATTATAAGCAGACTTAAAAAGAATGAAAAGCAACTGGAAAGGATTACCCAGGACAGAGTTGGATGGAGAATACTAGTAGGTGCTCTATGCTCCTCGACGAGGGGTAACAGGCGTAAGTAAGTAATAATTCAGATTTGTTAACTGATCAGTTCATATTAAATAATCAGTCTATTTATATCAAATAAATATTTTAAACCAATCATCTAAAACATGATAATTTATAAATTTCTTAATATAAATGAATCAAACAACCAATATGAACTCACGTATATATATATATATATATATATATATATAGTTACAGTAAACAGTGATTCCATAAAACAATAAAATCATGACATATTTAATCTGTATTTAACCTAATTAAGAACTGAATAAATAAAAAGAAATTGATCACTTACAACCATTTTATTCCATGAACTGGATTCATTAAACTAATAATTAATTGAAATAATAATAATGATAAGATAATTCCAAAAAATTTGGATTTTTGTTTAGATAAGATAAATAGTTGATCTATTATAATTAATAAATAATTAAACTTTGTAACAAAATGCATAATAAATTCGTATTTGTTTGTTTTCTTTCTTTTTTCTTTATTTCATGAAGACTAAATGAAGGTTATGTAGTTGTTTATTTTCTTCTTTTTTTGATAAAGACCTGGAACTTGTTCTTGTACGTATGAACAAGAAGAGGAAATGATTACGTAACTTCCACCAATAATAGTTATAATTGAATATATATGTTAAATTATTTCTTTGTTATGAAATTCATACAGGTCAACAATAAGTCACAGTTTAAATTATCAAACGTGTATATATATATATATATATATATATATATATATATATATATAAGTATGACTGACATTATACTTTTTATAGTGTTATTAATAGTAGTATTAATAGTAGTATATTGTAATTGATAAGCATACTGACTAGTTAGTATAATTGTTATTCTTATATTTGTTACAAGATGATAGACATTATCACAGTAATATGAATATACTTTTTTTGGTTTCTGGATAAATAAATGAATTTTTGTGCACAAAACATTCATACATTAAAAAAACAAACATGTACACAGATTACATTTTGTATAAGTAGTGTAGACTAATTTTGTCTGCTGTTATTGTACAACAGTTGGCTATTTACTTCTATTTTTTTATTATTTGTTTTCTTTAGTGAGACACTTTTTTTATGACTGAGAAATTAGACTTCGATTCCAGGTTAATGGAATGTTAATTTTTATGTGTAACATGTATACATCCCTATCACTTTAGTTAGGAAAATATACAATTGAGATTGTTTGTTTGGATTTATGTACACATTTAAATGTATATGAATAAGAGATAAAGATGAAATGAACTATATAGATAGATAAGTAGAAATAAAAGTGAATCAAATACTATGAGTTATTTTCTTTCTATTTCTTATACTACTTAGGAATCACTTTCAATTTTTGTGCCAAAGAAACACAATTTACTTAATAGTATACATAAGAATGCGTTGTTATATGTGTGTTGATTTGTCTACAACACTTACTTCTACTGCCACTGTAAATTTTATCACCCATGTGTGTGTATACGTCTACATATATATTGTTAACATAATGATATTCATTCTTGTAAAATGTTATACAATCTGTAGATGATAGGGTAATATGTTACATTTATCGCATTTTTCACCGAATATGAATAATGTTTCCAAATGTTTTAATAAATGTTTAGTTGTCCAGACATTTTGAACTATAGTTTATGATACAGTGTAAGCATGCATTTATGTGTGTTTTTGCGTGGTTCTACACTAGGTAGGCAACAGGATCATTAGTTGAACAAAAGGGGAAAGTAAATATTTATGCGCATAGATTTCAATTTATTATTTCAATGATATTTTGCGAATAATACATATACACATATATTATTCTACATTATCTGTCTGCACACTTATAAAATACAATTAAGTGATGTTATGTGTTGGGCACAATACAAGCGTGTTACTTTATGATTGGTTAAATAATGAACATAAATCTAATTCAGATGATAACATGTTCAGGGGGATAACGAAACACAAAACAAAAAAATCTGTAAATATATAAACATAGAAGGACATTGCAAAATTATATTCGTTGGGTTAAATAATAAATTTTTATAGTTGTGTGTATGTGGGTGTGTGTGTGATTTTTTTAATGTTAAACTTTAAAAGTTCAGTTTAATATCAGTAAAAATGCCTTTGTGCTAATATTTGAATGAATATTAGCCATTTATCATAATACCTTATATACATATATATATATCTATAAGAAGAATAAATCCAAAAATATCTGTATTTTGACATGAAGATCAACATTCCAGTAATATGATAAAGAATAAAATAATGAATATTTTAGATATTCAGAAAAAGTAATGCTAAAATAATCATATTCCATATGATATTTTATATTTATGAGTACATCTACATATATTATATTCTATGATCTGAAATAGTAGTAGTAGTAGTAGTACAGGTCAAGGTGTCTAAAGTACAGTTTGACTATTTATCTATACTGATGACCCAAAGTACTACGATACTATTTTTATATCCCATGTAGATTTTTGAATGTTAACTTTAAATACTATTTATGAACCAATATGATATGTATATTTCCTATTGTATAATTGTTAAGTAACTAAACTATTCATATTCATGTTCCTCTTATTATAAGCTATATTTTGATCCTTAGACTACTACTGTACGATTTATCATTCTTGAATTATCCCCAGTCCATTAATTACTGTTCCCCCTATTCACAACCACATTTGACCAAATCTTGTACAAATGTTATTTTCTATTTTATGGTACGATGTAGTCAGTTTGTTTGATATATAAACCCAGTATATTTGGGAATAATGATTCATATTTCAGAGGCTGTTATTGGTGTTCTGAACTTAACCGGCTGGGCTAGGCTGAAAGCAGGACTGATAATTACTCAAGACTGCTGATACGGCTTTTGTGTATCATTGCTTTGATCGATAATTCACTTTTCTCTGATTGGCGGCCATCATCACGGTCATATATAAACAGGGCACTCTCAATCGATATAACAACTGTAAAAGGATATCATATATTAAAAGCATTCAAAAAGTTTCCAGCAATTCGTAATCTCAATAATTAATTGTATTTAAGTATAAAATGATTTTTTATGTATAGTCAATTGAAGTTAGACCACCATGGAAAACCTGGAATCACTGGATGACCGTTTCGTTCTATTGTGGGACTCTTCAGCAGTGCGCAATCATTTATTGATTATTGTCATTATATAGGCTGCTTTGTTAGTTTATTTTATATAACAGTATTTTAATAGTTCTTTTCCAGTAAACTAATTACAAGATAAATTTCATTGAATAAAATTGTTCACAAATGTTTATAATGATATTATAATTGAATTGAAGGTGCTAGTGGAATCCAGGATGAATGTTTCTTATTATTTGTGACATGGTAGTTGAATTTGAACTACTCATATACTAACCAATTGTAAAGTTAGAAAAAACCTTTATTTTCCTACTTACAACTAAAAAACATCCCATATTCAAACAAAGTTTTTATGTTACGTTACTGAAAGGGATGCTAGTTTAGCAATAAGCTTTTTAAAATAATGTTATTTTATCTTATTCTAGAAGAGAATGGATCTAAGTCTTAGTATTTTCAAATATTTTCCTACTATAACATTAAACTGCTGAGGGATCGTGGATTGGCACCGCTGAGGAGTCCCACAATATGACGAAACGGCCTTCCAGTGCTTCCAGGCTTTCCATGGTGGTCTAGCTTTGATTGATTCATGATCTCAACTACATAACATTCGACTTAACCGAGAAACATCTAGCTTTATAATCAGTGTCCTATGGCGATGAATTAAGTAGTTCAGAGTAAAATAGAGTAACTACCTGCATAATAAGTTTACTATTTAGACAATATCAATGAAGTTTAAAAATTTTTTCAGAGGTATTGATCTTCACTATGATCTTAAAATCAATTCAAGTCTACGATTTATTATTCATTTATTATCTCTGATATCTTTATACTTAAAATTTCTGAAACTATGTATAAACTAATGGTCACATTAGATACTCTGTCGATTACTATTGATTTGTACTAAAGTCTAGGTTATGAACTTTCTCTTAACCTTATGAATAAATAAAACGAATACTAAATGATGAGTAGATACTAAAATTTGATCTAAACATTTAATATACAAACTATGCAATAGAGATTGTAGTTTATTATGTAAACGTCATTTCTTATGTCTATGTGACTATATGCAAAATAAATTACCATTCATGTTATTACCTTCCAAATGAATGGTTTGTATGTGTGTGTGTGTGCGTGTTATTTAACTTTTTATATTTACATTAATTCATTCTGAAAATATTCAAAAATGAAGAATCTTTATTAATCATTACTTTTACTTTTCACTTCTTTTTTTTTCTTGTTTCCATGTAACCTCAATCATATTAACAAAAGGTTAATTACAATACTGAAGATAAACATTTTTATTATTGTAATCAAAACATTTACTATAATTAATCAAATTTTGGAGCCATTTTTTCTAAAATTTTATATCAAAATGTAAAAATGTCATTTTTGTATTATAACGAAAAAAATGGTAAATTTTATGTAACGTTAAGTTTGATTCATTTTTATTTACATGAATGATTATGAAAAGAATTTGACGTTAGATCATTCATGAATTAATCATCTAGTTATAATATATCATAATTTTAATGAGATAATGAATCAATCGAAGCTAGACCACCTTGAAAAACCTGGAAGCATTGGACGGACGTTTCGTCCTATTGTGGGACTCCTCAACAGTGTGCATCCATGATCACACCTCGCGAGGTTCGAACCCGGAATCTATCAGTCCCGCGTGCGAGTGCTTAACTTCTAGACTACTGAGTGAGACTGATAGGTCCTGGGTTGGAATCTCACAAGGTGGGATCGTGGATGTGTAGTGCTGAGTAGTCCCACAATAGAATGAAACGTACGTCCAGTGCTTCCATGTTTTTCATGGTGGTCTAGCTTCGATTGATTCACGATCTCAACTATTAAAAATACTATAATATCCACAAAAACCCCTTCTGATGTTATAATTTGTCTATGATTACAATTAGGGTTCGTCTCCTTTTATTTATAATAAATAATTATAACTATTAAGATTACCATAGTGTGTAACTTTGAATTATAATATTCGTTAGAATTTAATCTTTGAATTGAATTAAATGGCATCAAATAAATTCAACTTATGTCTTAATTATTCCACTCTGAAAATGAAGATTTCATCAAAGATCTGAAAATAAAATGAATGAAATCAATCATCACTTCAATCATTTACTATAATCGAATTTTTATATTCTTGTTATAATTATTATTAACATGATTATTGTTATTGTCTAACCAACGAAAAATGCTACACTGAAACATACACAACGCAAAAGAAATAAATAGAAGTTAGGGAAGAGTATAAATAAGATAACCTAACACAGAAAACCATTTGAATAAGAACATAAGTAATTATAATTTTATTCTGCTCTAAAGTATGTCCTATTGTTTGTGCACAGTGTTAAACAACATTAAACATCACTGTAGGTATCATACGTTTTTAGTCGCCTAATACTATCAGAAACTACTTAGCTTCATTGTCATTGTGACCACAGTCAATATGTAGGTATGTATAATGAAAAGCTGTAATTTTTTGCAATCGCATCCCATCCCAATACAGATCAGGAGATACCAGGCATTGTAAGCAGTGTGCTAGTCCCCACTGTTATTGATCCATCAAAGTTAATGTTTGGAAGCACATAAATAAGGTAAGACTTATATTTCATCGAAGATATTTAAAAACTGGAGCTTTTGAGTACTTGGTAATCTTGATAAGTTATTTGTGTTTAGTTGTTGCTATTTTTTGAACTAAGTTTAGTTCAAATTCACTAATAGTATGGGTAAAATAAACGTTATGCGTTCAATCCGTCCATTTGAATATTATCTTCATTTGTTTCCGATTAAGTTCATTGTAATCTATATAAGTGGTACACCGAACAGAGAAAAAATGCGCCAATACAATGAATGATAAACCAATAGACCCGTAAATTTGTTTTTGCAATTTGTAAAAGCACCTCTGTCATTTCTCATTCTCGTAAGTAAATAAGTAATAACACGAAATACCCTACTTCAAAAATTGTTTATTTTAAAAACAAATTTTCTTTTTGGCTTCATTGATATATCTCTTATTTATCTTACAGTTAGACGTTTTCATAAGATTTCGTATCATGTATTTAAGTCTACTATACTAACATGAACTGTAAGAGGAAAACCTAATGAGTTGCTGACTCGAAATCTCAAATGAATGATCTGTGAAACCATTACGTTACCAATAGATCAAGAATTTGCTTCGTGAAACGACCAAATTTATCCTAGTTGTCATATAGAGTCTAGATAGTTGCAGAATAAAAGGTTTTGACTGATCTTCAAGCACTGAAAAAATTGATATATAACTAACATGCTTGATTCTTATCCAGAATATTACTTCCATTCAGGAGCACTCCCCTATAGACGTTCATACATAAAAGTTTACCCTTCAAAATAAGGTCAGAAATTACTTTTATTTCATTCACAATTGAATTTGTTTTTTACAAACATACCAAGCTGAATTTTACCAAATAATATTCATATTACATTCCTAATTTTAGTGGAATTTGGAAAACAGTCACTTTGTTTAAATATTTTGTTTTTTAACTGAAATTCAATGCTGTGGAATGTTTTCCCTAACAGAGAAAATGATATTGTCTTCTTAAAGTAGCTAAGTCTTTGTGGTCACTTGTATTATCTTTTTAGAATTATAATAAATAAATTATTAAGTAGAGCAGTAATTTCATCAGTGTAAGACCATAGTCTCTTATATTCATTTGTACTGGTTGTTTGAATCTTCCCAACAATGTTTAGGACTGCAGTTGATCAGTCTCTTCTTTTTTCAGGTACATAGAGCTAACTGATCATAAATAGGATAAAACGTGCGTCTTTGATTCCACTACTAGTCACCATCCACCTTTCATACTTTAAAACCAAAAAAAATAGAAATATTACATTCTATTTCCATAGTTTCCATAGTAAAGATAAATGATGATGGCTATGTAAGAGGATGATTTAATATGTCTCTCAATTATTAGAATTATGTAAGATGAAATATTACGGGTTTTCATTACATTTTATTACATTTTTACATAAAAAGAAATTTAAGTATATGTTCCATATTCATAAAAAATTTTTTTTATTACGCTTAAGGTCATTTATATAGTTATTATCATTATTACTATAAGAGTAGAGAGTATCTAATACTAAGATGACCTTTATGTATCACAAAATGACAGTCTTAATGTGTACACAAGTAGAACATCTTTTCTTTTCCAAGGTAGTAAAATGTAATCTGAATTTTTATGATATTCTATGGCATTTTTAATTGCCCATATAAAAACTTGAATAAGAATTTGGTTGATGTATATTTTTCGAGAAGAAAGAAAGTGAAGAAAAAGATAGATGGATAGATAGATATAAAGTTACTTGGTTAAATCCATGTTGTACAATGTATATTATAGTTAAAGATAATAAAACTACCTCTTATCTTATTTAACATGAATTCATTCATCTTAAACAACTGTTCATTTAAAAAAAAGAGACTCCATGAAAATGGATCTGAACTAACAGTTTGGTAAATTGAAACAAATGTGATATATCTTGACGTAATAAAGATTAAATCGTTTGTCACAAATTGATACAGATATTGAGAAGACTACATTCCTTTTTTTCAGGTAGACGTATTTCTACTTCTTGTAGCCTCCATTATTTTATTTAATATTCAAATAAGAATTTTAAAAATTTAAAATGTCGTTGAAATAATTAGTCAACTGAAGCTAGACCACCGTGGAAAACCTGAAAGCACTTGACGTCTGTTTTGTCCTATTGTGGAACTCCTCAGCAGTGAGCATCCACGGTCTCACCTCGCGAGATTCGAACCCAGGACCTATCAGTCTCGCGCGCGAGCGCCTAACCACTAAACCACTGAGCCGATATCCAACAGTCGTAACGTCTCTCTCTCTCTCTCTCTCTCTATATATATATATATATATATATATATATATATATAATTACTAAAATCTTCACAAAACCCCCTCCTAATAATTAAATTAGTTAGAATGTCATTCACATAAAAGAAAATTAATATTAGGTGTCGTACAGTTTAAGTTGCAGATCAGAATTTGATCACTTTTCTTTAAAAAAATTATTCTAATAAAGACGATAAGTTTAAAAATAGTCCGATGTCCACATGTTGTTCAAGTTAAATAATTTCGTTCTTTTCACTGTGGGTTTGTGATGATTGTTGAATTTCACTGGAATCATGAACCGATCTAAGTTAGACCATCATTGAAAACTTGGAAGCACTGAATGGTCATCTCGTCTTAGTATGGGACTCCTCAGCAGTGAGCACTTACAATCCCTCAAGCGGAACTTGAACTCAGGACTTTCGATCTCGCTGGAATACTTAACCTCTAGAACACTGAGCCGAGATTTAACAGTGTTTATATCCAACTTCAACCAATTCAGTAATTCATGACTTTTATTTACCAATAATAAATAACTATCAATAATGAATTGTAGTTTAAACAATGATGCTTCGAAGGTAGAATTTGACACAACAAGAATAAACTAGAAACCGTTTTTGGCATGATCATACATCAAAGAACCATGTGAGGAATATTTGGCAAAAAATACCAATCAGTTGAATTTAATTAGAAAGTTTAGTATGAACATGCTCATTGACAGGATTAAATATATTCCATTCTTTTGCGGAGACAATCAAAAATATTCACTTTTGAAAGGCTTTATACTCGAAAAACACAGTTCTGAAATGCTGCCTATCGATCAACTCATTTGCACATTGACAAAATTCATCTGCCATACGTTTTCACGAAACTGGACGACTTGGCATTAATTGATTTCTGTTTTGACAAAACACTCTTTTATTGTGTAATTTACATAAAGTATGCGATTAACAGCAATAAAATCATAGTTTTTTAACTGTTCCTTAGCATGCAGAAATGAACTATGGTTGCTGTATTTATCGGTGGTTTCATTCAAACTATTAAACGGAATGAGAAATGGTGATATTAAGACCGAACCGAATTCTTTCTCAACCTATTAACTGCATAATAATATACAATCAGGAAACTTGGAATGATAACTTAATACTGACCAACGTCATGTCTCTTTAGTCTTTATTGCACCAGACTGTGAAATTGCTTGAAGTAGTTTTGTATTCCAGTGATAGCTTCAGTCCTTTCAAGAATTCAGGCACATCTAACTTAACCGTTCCAAATACCACAAAACCGAAGTCTGATATTTTCTCCTAGCTACCTCTTGCCACCTAACATGAAGTTGAGGTTTGTGTGGAAACATATTATCAGCAAACAAGTTATTTACTTGCATCATACTTAAAATAAACATAAATAGTACCGTTATCCCGGAACTCCTAAAAGTGAAGAGATAAAGTTTAATTTAAAGCTCTCTTGGACTGAAATTCAGTTTCACTATCATAACTTTGTGATATGTAATTGGACACCATTCATTGTCATTCTAACCAGTGTCATAAGAATCAACAGGCAAACTAATAACGAAATATATATTGTCACAAAAATAACTGGATAAGAAAATGCTCAGTAATTGATTCACTTCATTCTTGATATCATGATAAGGAGGAAAAAAGTTATGCTAATTGAAATCCTGACCAACAAGAATTTTTGAGATACAAACGTCTAGAAAGACAATCCATATGGATTACCTACTCATTTGCAGTTGTAAAGAACATGATTGATTTGTGTTCTAACACTATCCTCAAAAACCAAACTTACCCAGTGAAACAACTACAAGCCTATCACTTAACTAAACATTTTCTAGCATAATGTTTAGCGTGTAAACTGAATGTGTACTAAGTATACACATGAAAAAAGCTAACTTTTGATGTAGTGCCTTATCATCGAGAAAGTAATGACATTACAAAATATTTTCTATTTACCCGAATTCAGGTTAGTGTAGTAATATTTTCGCCTTAATCTCATTATGAATCGCTGCCATATTTGAATGTACTAGGCGCCTTCAATATAATAGGCGCCAGTGTAACTGGCTTCCCTCTATTTTTTTGATTTATGCTTCTCCTGTTTGTATGTGTATAACTTGTGTGGGTGGACAACAGACCCCATATTGTCCAATAAACTAGATTTTAATGGGTAATGAAGAAATTTTCCTTATAGTAGGATACTACTGTAATTTTAGGAACAAGTAGTTCGCAATACTTTACTGAAAACCAGTTGCCACTCTATAACTGTTAATTTAATTTAACTCATTTACACATGAATTTTTAAATTATCATGTAAACTTATCTAAACGATTTATACAAAGGGCTCAAACCTAGTCAAGTTTCCATTGTCTCTTTTATATTCTGTGTAAGTAATGAGGGGATAAAATACTGTTTTATTTGTTGAATTTAGACAACGTTGCAAAAAACCAAGCGGTATCAGAAAAACCAAACAATTTAATCAAATTGAGATGAGATTAAATTTCTATTCAAATGGGGATGTATCTACAGTATATCCATTAAACATTTATTTTGTTAGTGACTGCTGAGCATGCTAAAATTTCTAGTGAATTACTTAACTTCAACAACAAACGTCTGTTTATCAAAGAAATTACAATCTTAACATTCCTGTGAACAAGTCATCTGAAATATTGTTTTTCAATTTACCTTCCTTGACTAACAGAATCAGCCAACAATATTTTAATACGTGTCAATATACACCGAGAGTTTCTACAAATGAACAATCAATGTATACGCAGGAGTAAAAACTACCTTAATCTGGAAGAAGAAACTTATGTACGCAGGTAAATATTCCTTCACTAATTCACTTGAAACTATATCCACACCTTTGTTAGTAGATGTAAAAATCTAAAATTTATATTACTAAACAAAAGATTGTGCACAGATGTGATTGATATCCCGAAAATAATAATTCAAGTTTTGTGTCAGTAGAAGTATTGCAAAAGACTTATAAAGGATTCTTAAACAGAACTTTGAAGAATGAGAAGGTATAATATACGGTTAACTACAGTCCCTTTTTCAATTTCAGGAACAGTTAGCTTGGTTTTCATGCTTTTTATGCGTAATTAAAAGTTGCTACGTTTCTGTGAAAAAATGTTACACGGTTTGACTAATGATTTAGCTAGTCTACTTTGGTTTAGTCCATATACACAATCCAAATATAACAACTAATAACAACTATTGCATTTAATATGTTGAAAAATAGATACTACTCAGCCTAGATGTAATTCCTACTAAACTGATAGAATTTCTTGTACACCAAGAAATCATGTAAGTCTCCAAAAAAAAACCATGAAATCAACTGATTCTATTTTGCTGCCGAGTTATGTCAAAATGGTGCATTTACAACTTTTTTGTAAATTAGATTCATTTTACCTATGAACAAATGGTTGTTGCTTGTAGATCAAATAAAAACTTAGAAAATTATCATCCAATTATTAAGTGTTTGTATTCTTTCATTACTAATAATAAAGATGAGAAATGAGAAATGTCTTCGATACATCTACATCATGAAGGGATTGTCTCAATAATGCTACATGGTTGAAATTTTTAGTAATGTAAGGTGGAGTGTTTCGTTTTTTTTAGACTAGTCATCTAGATATATCTCTATCCTAGTATTGATGTTTACATCATTGTGGACTTTAAGGCTCAGTTTCAGCATCAAAGTTGTAATCCAGATACATCCAGCTGACAAATCCCGAATAAAACAAAATATATCTTCTGGATTCCGCTGTTAGCACCTGATCGAATTTAACAACTTTATCCTTAAGAAAAAACCTGTGTGTTGGTTTTCAACGATCATTTGTACATCTACAAACTTGTAATAAAGGGATAATAAAATTGTAAAGATTGAATCAAATAATAAATTAAGGTCAAATATAATAATAAACATTTCAGTAAATATAATACTATTTATAATAAATTTATGCATAAAATAAACATCTTTTTTTAATAATCAGAAGGGGTTGTGTGGAGATTTCAGTATTTTCATAGTTGAAAGCATGAGTCAATTGAAGCTAGACCAACAAGTTCAGTTGGATAAACTATTGAAAGACTGGCTACACATAAATATATAAATGTATATGGGGGTATTTTTGAAACTATTTACCTGGATAATATTTCAATGAAGGTAATTATGAATTGACTTATTATGTATATCATAAATAGTTAATTTTGGGTATAATCCTAATATAAACGTGTCAATTAACATGAATATATATGTGTACACCCTTTTTATAATAATGACTATTATCGTTATTATTACTATAATTATTATTTTATTTCCACTGCCTTCCAAATACTTTACATTGATGAGTAATTCTTATTCGTATTACTTACCTAATAAAAATAATTTATTTGTATCAACTATATGAATACTATAATTCCTATTAGCTATTCATAAATTTACATTATAAATATATCATTTTGGAATCTGGGGGTTATATATTATTATTATTATTATAGGGATGCTGTTCTGTCTTTCGTATTGTTATATCCCGAAGAGAATAATGGATGGTAACTTTTGAGAACTATTTATGGACCAGTGTGGCATGTATATTTCCTATTGTATAATTGTTAAGTAACTAAACTATTCATATTCATGTTCCTCTTATTATAAGCTATATTTTGATCCATAGACTACTACTGTACGATTTATCATTCTTGAATTATCCCCAGTCCATTAATTACTGTTCCCCCTATTCACAACCACATTTGACCAAATCTTGTACAAATGTTATTTTCTATTTTATGGTACGATGTAGTCAGTTTGTTTGATATATAAACCCAGTATATTTGGGAATAATGATTCATATTTCAGAGGCTGTTATTGGTGTTCTGAACTTAACCGGCTGGGCTAGGCTGAAAGCAGGACTGATAATTACTCAAGACTGCTGATACGGCTTTTGTGTATCATTGCTTTGATCGATAATTCACTCCTCTCTGATAGGCGGTCTTATCACTTCATCTACTAAACAGGGCACGTACGCAATCAATCGATATGACACGTATTTACTTTAATTTCTCATCAAATTACAAGAACTTTCATAAAAAAACGAGTGTTAACTTTTAATGTGCACTGATGAATCCAAATGGTTATCAACAATGTGTAATGATTGCATAAAATCGTCTCGATTCGAGTGTATTATTCATTAGAATTGAAATAAATTTGGTTTAATGAAGAGAAAAACAAAGACTGAATAAATGTTAGTTTATGCAAAAGAGACACTATATATCTCTACGGATTAAATGGTTTACTCTTGTTAACGTTTTTTTTTAATAAGGTTGTTTTCTACATAATGGAAGTTGTAATCCCATGCCCAAACTTTTTCCTTTACCCAGGCTTGGAATCGGCAGAAACTCTAGAAGAGCTACAAGTGGAGTTATTTCAACGGATAGTTTAAACAATAGTTTGGGTTGGGAATATCAACTGAAAACAATATTGTTTTGATAAAGAAAGGCATTTAAAAGTAGATTCAGGTTTCCAAACAACAGAAAATATTTAGTTTACCGAAATATTAACCTTATCATTTATTTAAAAGGAGATAGAAAGCAACACAATTATTCATTATATGTGAAAATTACATTTGAGATAACCTCAGCTGTTGAAATTTAAATAATTCCAACGTTTCGTCCAGTTAACTTGTCTGGACTTTTTTTGAAGGGGCCAAAATAATTCAGAAAGGCTTCAACGGTCATAAAGAAATATTGACAGCAGAAGCGCTGTATATATGGGCGAATAAGAACAGCCTAAATAGAAAGGATGGTATTCAGCAAATAACCATTTGACAAATATTCATCTACAAGTAATTGGACTCTTTCTTTCTTCATTCAACCTGTCTATATCACGTGAATCGTTATTTCGACTGAAATCAATTTGAGTTATGTTTAGCATTACAATTATGTACTTGATGATTCTCATTTAATTGCAATTTCGATGATTCAGGAAAAACTTTTCAACCTTCATTTTGCACTTTCATTCTTACTTTTACTTCACATAGAAACATATCAGCACTGAATATCATTCATTAATAACTCATCTTACACATACATACATACACACAATTTATGCAATCTCCTTTTATTTTACATCGTTGAACTTTTCACTTGATTCTCATTTAACTGACTCATATTATCCTGCTTACATAATGCAATATTCAAATATGATTGGTTTAATGTAGTGTATATTTGGATATGATTGTCAAAAAACACTATATATTTCTTTGATGATTTTGATTTGGCTTATTACCCTGAAGAAGTTCAGACAGGTTAGCTGGATGAAACGTCGGGATTATTTAAATTTTAATCGCTGAGATTATTTCAAATATAATTTTCACATACAATGACGTCTCTATGCTCGGCGCCCAATTTTTTTCAAGCTATTCATTCTACTCTTGACGAATATTTGTATAAATCAACAAAATTATTGTAATGTATCATAGACCCAATACTATACCTTTAGTGGAAGTGATTGTTTTAAGAAGAATTTTTCAAAATTGATTTAGGTTTGTGACCTGATTGATTTGGGTAGAGTGTAACTTACGGAAACTTTACACAGTTTATTCATTAACAATCTTTATATTTCTATATAAGATGTCAACAAGTTCAATCTGATGAATTGATATTGTACACATGATCTATGAAAAAAAACATTTCAAATTATTGGAAATCAGTATTAATAGATTAGACGAGTAGTTTCAACACAGTTTGTTAATATATTCTAATTGTGGTGAAATATAATGATTAAATAATTATAGAAAGGGTTTTGTGGAGATTTAGTATTTATTATAGTTGAAAGCGTGAGTCAATTGAAGCAGTGACCGGTGGAGTTCAAAACCACGTCTATTGTGAGATAGGAACTCACTGAAGACAATTGGTGAATGGTTGCTCAACTTCGTGGATCAGTTGAAGTTAGACATTAACACCGTTGGATGCCAGCTCAGTGGTCTATCGGTTAACGGCTTCGGCTCCAGACTGGTAGGTCCTGGGTTCGAATCTCGCGAGAGCGGGTTCGTGGATGCTCACTGCTGAGGAGTCCCATAATAGGACGAAACGGCCGTCCAGTGTTTCCAGGTCTTCCATGGTGGTCTAGCTTCAATTGACTCACGCTTTCAACTATGATTAAATAATTTCCCAAAGTTCTAATAAGAAGACGTGACCAGTGGAGTCCAATACCTGTCGAGTGTGGACAGTTATCCATCTCAGACAATGAATGAAGGGTTGCGCAAGATCATGGATCGATTAAAGTTAGACGTTAACACTGTTAGATGCCGGCTCAGTGGTCTAGAGTTTAGGCGTTCGCGCGCGATACCGAAGGTTCTGGGTTTGAGTACCATGTGCTGGATTGTGAACGCCCATTGTTGAGGAATCCGATACTAGGACAAAATGGCCGTCTAGTGGTTTCAGGTTTTCAATGGTAGTCTAGCTTAGATTGACTCATGAATTCAAATGGTAAAATCACAAATAGTTGTGTTATACGTTCTATCTTATACTTAATTTGTTTATTTTCACACTATTATACTTTATACTACTGAGACAATGAAGAAAGTTTACTTCTTTAAAGAAGGTGATTTATTAAAAAAATTAGAGAAATATTTCCGTATAATTGCATTACG